CTGCTGTGTTTGTTTCTGTTGGTTACAGTGGTTCGCTGTGTTCAGATGGTTCTGGATCCGTACAGTGCAATCTCTGTGTCCACCTATCAGGAGGAACAAGAGCAAGCGGAGGGGTGAAGGTTAAAGCCGGCGGATTGAGAACCATTGGATTGTAGAAGAACTGCTTCTGGAAATACACAAGTGGAAACACATCTACACTTTCTCTAACCCTCATCGTGTGGAGACTCTTGGATTTCATTGCAGCTCATCCGGGAAAAGGGATCAGAGTGTCATTATGAGCTCTCATTACCACCAGGAATCACCAAAGCACCAATGAATCAACAAAACTGTGTATGAATATCAGAAATCTGATGCGGTTGGGTGAGAGTATCCTTCAGAGGTGAGCGACAGAGTCTCTCAGAATATTCTGGCTTCTCTTTTTGGTTCAGTGAGTCTTAACTGTATTAACTGTAGTGCCGTGAAACTCAAAACCACATGCACGGATCCCGTTACACTTTTCCAGCTGATCACACGGCAATGGTCAAAACATCAGCTTTACGCACCGGAACAATATTTAAATTCTGCATATCCGAAATGCTTTGAATAGGGTCTGAATAAGTGTTTGTATTTATTTATTACATTACATTTATGTGTTTAGCAAACACTTCAAAGCAACTTACAAAAAGAGATTTTAATTAGTTAATGTGCACGCATTAATTTATGCATGTTGAATAACAGCTAACTAATAAATAGTGGTTTTATTCCAAAAAAAGAAAGAAACAGTATATTGGTATTTCTCGGTATTCTTTTGAGAGATGTTACAGTTTTTCTTTTTCTTTAATCAAAATTAAAATACGGTCAATAGAAATATGCTCAAAACACATTGTAAACTATTGCACACATTGTCAGTATGTTTTTAAGCCATTTACCAGAACACACTCACACAGTAAAAAAAAAAACTGTATTATAATATCTAATAATTGGCTCTACAGAGTAACTTAGTGGACAATTGCACCATTGTAACTCATAATTTCAATTGCTTTGTCTGGCCAACCACTAAACATCAAGATTTGAATAGATATTTCAATTGAAATCATTAAAAATACTGCAGACCCCAAACAGTGTACCCCACCACAGTTGGCGGTCAATTAATGTACTCTATGCCAAAACAGTTGAAGTATTTAGATTTTAGTAATACATTTATTATGGATAATGTTGACCTTTAATATATGCTTTCTGTTAATGGATAAAAAAATACTTTTATGAGGAAAGTTGTTCGAAAAAAGTAAAATGGCTTTGGCAAGATTCTAACCAGTGCTGGGGAAAGTTACTTTTAAAAGTAATGCATTACAATATTGCGTTACTTCCTAAAAAAGTAACTAATTACGTTACTTAGTTACTTTCTATTGAAAGTAATGCATTACGTTACTTTTTAAATCTGGGCTGGGCTTGCTTGTTTGCTTTTAATATAAAAAGTTATATTTTTGGCAAATATAAAAGCCCTTTCACAGCAAAAGCCTCGGGCTGAAGGAAATGTAATTCACGTCTGTACAGTAGAACACAGAAGAAGAAAGTTCAACACTCTTCAGCAATACACAAAGAAGAAGAAATGTTAGTTTAGTACGGTTGAACTGGATCACTGAAGGTCAGCAGCAAATTGGTTAATACAATGGGATTAAATACATAAAGGATATTTGTATTATTTAACATATTTAATTATTGCAGCTTTGAGTCACATTCTGAGTTGCGTTTAACTTTTTATTCATTTTGAGGAAAACTAAATCAGATTTATTAATTTTTTTATGAGTGAGTGAGACGAATTAATGCACGTTCACATTTATTCTAGAACTAAAGTAACATCTAACTCCCGGTTTCTCTCTTTTGAAAAAGTAACTCAGATATTCTCTTGTAAATTAAAAAGTAATGCGTTACTTTACTAGTTACTTGAAAAAAGTAATCCGATTACGTACCTCGCGTTACCCCCAGCACAGATTCTAAACAATGTTAATTTTAACGTGTATTTTTAATGTTTGCTGGTATAAATGGAAAAATATTATAACATTCATCCAAACTCACTACCATCTGCGAAACAGGCAGACTTTTATTTTGAAAAAATAAAATGCATTGAGTATAAACTGGACTTTTATTCTGAAAAGCGTTCAATGGCTGCAGCAGTGCTGCGCACACATGATATCACACCGGTATCGCTAGCTTTATCTAGAGGATTTTCAAGTACATCACATTCAGGTGTCATTTAAAAGCTCTTTCTCATTTTCAACGCGGACTTGCTGAAGGTAAAGTGTGTTTTTAACGCGCGGCTGGCTCTAGTGTCCTGTGCTCGCGCCCGAAGGTCACGGTTAAAGTGACTGATGCACGCGTTATAACTGATGTAACGCTAGCTGTGATAGCTGATCGCTGTTCTCTGGTGGTTCCTGCAGCATGTGTGTGTTTGGAGGAGCGCTGAGGCGCGCGCTGACCGCCTGTCAATCATCGGCTCTGCTGTGCGCGAGACTCTTCAGCGCAGGTGACGCACAGATGCACGGATATTTACAGCTCTCTGTAACGCGTGCAGTGTGAGTAAAGCGTGCTGTATGTGTCACACAGGCTCGTGCGCTAGGATACGAATGCACGCGGTTCCCAAACTGAGAGAGCTGGATCGATGGACGGAGAAGAGAAGCATGTTTGGAGTCTATGACAACATCGGGATCTTGGGTAAGCGCATTCAAACTTAAAGGGGTCATATGATGCTTTCTCTTTGGAGTGTTACGAGCTCTTGGTGCATAAAGAAGATC